GGGAGGATGGGTTAGCCTGGTGGTGGGTATTAGAGAGGGTACGTTCTGCATGGAGCACTGGGTGTTATACACAAACAATGAATCATGGAACACTACATCAAAAACTGTAATGATATAATGTATCGTGATTAACATAACAAAAAATTTTTTAAAAGTACCATATTCACATCATACTATCGTGTAAAAGACACGGTATGGTGAGAGCAGCTACATTTTTCTCTATTGAGGTAAAAATCACACAGTAAAACTAATTCTTTTAAAGTACGCAGTTCAGTTGCATTTTAGTGTATATTCACTGTGCTGTGTAGCCGTCACTTCTGTGTAGTTCCAAGAGATTTTCATCTGTCCAAAAGGAAACTTCATACCCATTAAACATTAACTCCCTATTCCCTACTTCCTTCTGCGCCTGGCAACCAGTAGTCTACTTTCTGGTTCTATAGAATTACCTGTTCTGGATGTTTCATATAAATGGAATCATATAATATGTTCCCTTTTGTGTCTGGCTTCTTTCAGTTAGCATGTTTTTGAGGTTACCTGCATCGTATTAATGGTTCAGTCCTTTTTATGGCCAAATATTCCATTGTGTGGATATAGGGCATTTTGTTTATCCGTTCATCAGTTGGTGGACATTTGGGTTGATTCCACTTTTTAGCTGTTGTGAATAGCGTTTCTGTGAACATTCATGTGCAAGTATCTGTCTGAATCCCTTTTTCCAGTTGTTTTGGTTATATACCTAGGATTTGAATTGATGGTTCATATGGTGATTCTATGTTTAACTTTCTGAGGAACTGCCAAACTGCTTTCTACAGTAGCTACACCATTTTACATTCATGCCAGCAATATATGAGAGTTCCCACATCCTCACCAACACTGATTATTTTCCATTTTTTCTTACTATGGCCAACCCAGTGGATTTGAAGTGGTTTTTCTTTGTGGTTTTGATTTTCATGTGCTCGCTGGCCATGTATATTATCCACTTTGAAAAAATGTCTGTTCAGGTCCTTTTCCCATTTTTTAATTCAGTTTGTCCTTTTGTTGTTGAGTAGTAGGAGCTTATATTTTGCATATTAACCCCTTAATCTAATATATGATTTGCAGATATTTCCTCCTATCCTTTAAGTTATTTCATTCTCTTGATAATGTTCTTTGATACACAAAAGTTTTTAATTTTGATGAAGTTCAGTTTATTCATTTTTTGTTTTGTTGCTTGTGCTTTTGGTATCATATGTAAGAAACCACTGCTGAATCCAGGGTTATCAAGTTTTACCCCTGTTTTTCTTCTTAGATTTTTATAGTTCCAGCTCTTATATTTAGATATTTGATCCATATTAAGTTAATTTTTATATGTGGTTTTATATGAGCTAAGGGTCCAAATTCATGCTTTTACATATCCAGTTGTCCCAGCACTATTTGTTGGAAAGACTGTTCTTTCCTCTATAGAAGGATCTTAGCACCCTTGTTGAAAATCAGTTGGCCACAGATGTATGGATTTATTTCTGAAATCTTGATCCTCTTTCCTTGATTTATATCTCTCGTTATGCCAGTACCACGCTGGTTTGACTGCTGTACCTTTGAGGTAAGTTTCAAAATTGGAAAGTGTGAATCTTCCAACTTAGGTAGTTACCTTTACTGTAGTACTTTATCTCTTCATCACAGGGCTGTGAATTACTGTCTTTGTTTCATTTCAGCCCAAAAATTCAGCCTCTAGCATTTTCTTACATGGCAGATTGGCTAGTGACAAACTCTTGCAGCTTTTATTTATCTGAGAATGTCTTAGTTTCTCTTTTATTTTTGAAGAATAGTTTTGCCAGATATGGAATTCTTGGTTAATTTTTTTTTCTTTCTTTCAGAGTTTAAATGTGTTACCCTGTTGCTTTCTGGCCTCCATGGTTTCTGATCTGAAATCAGCTATTAATCTTACTGATAATCCCTTGTATGTGACAAATCACTTTTTTTCCCCCTGCTTTCAAAATTCTCTTTGGGTTTTTAGTTTGACTATAATGTGTCTTGGTGTGGCTCTCTTTGAGTTTTTCCTACTTTGGAGTTTCTTTAGCTTCTTTGATGTATAGATGCATGTATTCTGTCAAGTTTGGGAAGTTTTGGACCATCACTTCTTCATATATTCCTATTGTCCTTTCTCCTCTTCTGGGACTCCCACAATGCATAGGTTAGTGTATTTGATGGTCCCTTAGGCTCTGTTAATTTTTCTTCGTTCTATTTTCTTTCTTCCCAAAATGATTAGTTTCATTTGACCTATCTACAAGTTTCTGGATTCTTGCTTTAACCTGCTCAGATCTGCTGTTTGAAACCTACTAGTGAATTTTTAATTTCAGTTATACTTTTCAGCTTCAGAATTTTATTTATGATAATTTCTGTCTCTTTATTAATAATCTCTGTTGAGACCTCATTCTCCTTGTTTCCTTTGGTTCTTGTTTATGGTTTATTTTAGCTCTTTGAAGTATACTTAAGACAGTTGATTTAAAGTGTTTGGCTATGAAGTCCAATGTCTGTTCTTTTTCAGGAATAGTTTTTGTTTTTGTTTTTTCCTGTGACTGGGTCATACATTTTTGTTTATTTGCAAGCCTCATAATTTTTTGTGAAAACAGACTCTGAGAATTAAAAAAAAAAACAAAACAGACTGTATTCTCGGTCAGATGTAGTCCCTGAGGTCTCTGTTCCCTAAGCATAGTACTGTACTAATATTTTGACATTTTGAATGTTATCATGTGGCAATTACAGAAAGCAGATTCTCCCTCTCCAGGGTTTGTTCTTCCTTATTGTGGGCTACAGTTGTCTGTTTAGTGACTTTTCCACAGTATTTTCACAAAGACTGTATTCCTTGGCATGTGTGAGTGCTGAAGTTTCTTTTCCATTATCTCAGCAGTTAGCCAGTGACCTGACAGAGATTTCCTTCAGTGCTTTGTGCCAAAAAAAGAAAGAAGAATGGAGAAATGAAAGAAAAGAAAAAATAATTCTCCAGGTCTTTGCAGATTGCCTCTGTGTTGAGTCACTCCTTATACACTTATCCATGCTGCTTACAGTTGTACTTTGAGCCTTTACCTCCTTGCTTGCACTGCGCCTAAAGATTAGCAAGAAGTTAAAATTTATGGTCTTAGGTATTTTTCTGAGCATGCGCCCTGCTCTGGGTATGCGTGTGGCTTTCTAAATTCTCTAGTATTCACAGGAACTTTTCAAAGCCTTTATTCCCCCCAAATCTCAGTCCCCAGCTTTTCTTTCCAGGCCTTTGCTGTGTCTGTTGCTTGCCCCAACTCTTTGTTTTTGCCTTTGTTCATTGACCTTTCAATGTTTTGGGGGAAACCTTCTCCTCTGAACCACTTGCCCTGATAGAGTGAAGCTCCTTATGTTAGTCCTTGGGGGGAAACTCCAGTCAAGTCGAAACAGAAAAACATAATTCCTTGGGAACAAGATCCACTCTGCTCCCTCCAGAACCAGGGACACTCACGCTAGAATACAAGACTACCATTTTTAAGTCTACTGCCACACTAGTGATGTGGGTGGGGATAAGGTAAGTTAAAGTGACGTAAAAGTCTCCTACTGTGTTGTAAGTTCTTTCTGGTCAGGCATTCACTTGGTCGCTGTAAACCTTTGACTATTGCCCAGAGTTCCGGTAAGGTTCCTTCTGTCAGTTTTTACTAGATTTTTTCTTTTTTTAGTGTTTCTGAAGAGTTCTCCAGAGTTCCCTGCTCCATCACTTTTGTTGACAATACTCCCACAGCTACATTTGAAAACCAGGTTTCTTGTCTCTTTATTGATGTCCTAATACTACTTGTGAGAAATGGTGATTAGTTCACAAAGAAGTGGTAATGATATCAATAATAGCTAATACTTACTACTTACCATATATTTGGCACTGTTCAGAGCAGTTCATTATTTCATTGATCCCTCAAAACAACCCGGTGATTTATTGGAATTATTATTATCTAATCTTCTATATAAGGAAATGGAGTCAGAAAGGCTTAACAATGTGCCCAGGTTCACATAAGCTTAGGAGCCTGGCTGTAGAACCTAAGCTTTTATTTTAGTCTTGATTTAGACTACCTCTGCAGAAGGTCTTACTGAATAAGTAAGGAGCTGACCAAACTCTGCTCTAAAACTAGACACAGAAATAATGACAAACAGCTGAATACCACCAGAACATTCTATGTTGAATATTTCCGAGGTCTTATTTCTAAAGGCACATTTTGCTATAGAATTTATAGTATGCTGATTACTGTTTTTCTTTTCTCATTTCAGGTCATCAAGAAAATAACAACTTCTGTTCAGTTAACATAAATATTGGTCCAGGTGACTGTGAATGGTTTGTTGTCCCTGAAGGTTATTGGGGTGTTCTGAATGACTTCTGTGAAAAGTAGGTTTCCAAACTAAATTTTCTTTAAACGTAATTATTCAAAAACAGTAATTGTAAAGGACAACTTACTAACCTGGATATCCCAATGTATGTAACCAGTTTTCACTTACCATTCAGCAAAAAATTCATTTAAATTGATTTGATTCCAAGTCTGTTCCTTTGCATTACTGAGAATACTTTAAGAAAGATGCGGCAGTAACAGCCTTGAATTTGGAAGATAGGAGGGTTGAGTTGTTTATTAGGTTAATTGAACAATTGATACATAGATACTTGTTCATGTGGGAGATCTATATTCCAAGAAAAATTATTTTACTATGAATGGTTTTAGAAGTGGAAGGAATTCTATAATAGAGCCCCTTCATAGGTTGTTAATAACTCAAGTTTGAGCATATTACTCTTTGTCATATCACCATGATATAAATCCTTTTTAAAACTACACTGGCAACTATTCCTATAAAATAATTTTACAAAATTTAATCAACTGCTTCAGATTTTATTTTCTCTATTTGAAGGAACTCACCTAGTAGAAGTATTCCTTTCCTTAAGGTCCTAGAAATAGCCTTCCTTTATTTCTTTATCTTGTGTTAAAGAGTACCTCAGAATTATTTTCATTGGTTTAAACTTATTTGTCTAAATGGAAACTTTCTTTTTTTTTTGAAAGTACTCCATTATGTAAACCTTGATATTTTCCTTTAGTAATAACATTGGAAAATTATTATGGATAAAAACATAAATTATACATATATATGGTGTTATTCTCCCCACCCCGAGAAAGTAAAGGGGGAACCACCAGAAATATTTACATTATGAGACTCTGAAAGCTAATTATACAAATACTCCACATACTAAGAATTTTTTTATCGTGGGTTACAGGATCTTTGCTGTAAACATCTTTCTTGGTTTAGTAACAAGTGTAAATATAGTTACCAAAAAAAACCCCACACTAATCCAAAATTTCCTTATATACAAGCAAAAGATAATTACCTTTCATTGTTTTTACTGTTTAACACACAGGTTTCCTTTCATATAAGAAAGCCAAAGATGTGAAATTTTAAAGTTTCAAATGCCCTAATGAAATAACCTGATCTACTTTAATCTGTGCTTGCTTTTATGGACCAGTGGTCCGGTGGTAGCAGAGAAAGAGCAGTGTCATGTAGGAAATCTCCATTGTTCTACAGAAAGATCTATCTTTCTTTCTTTCTTTCCTTCTTTTCTTTTGATTTTATTTATTTATTTGAGAGAACATGAGAGGGGGAGGGTCAGAGGGAGAAGCAGACTCCCTGCTGAGCAGAGAGCCTATGTGGGACTCGATCCTGGGACTCCAGGAGGCAGTCGCTTAACCAACTGAGCCACCCAGGTGCCCAAGATTTGTATTTCTTAAACTTTGAGATAGTAGTATATTTTTACAATACAGTACACTAATCCTTGTTCATTATTTCTGAGTAGAGATTGGCTCTCTTCAGGATTTAGTTTTTCTTTCCTACCTAATGGGGTGGTAATCTGGGAACAAAGATAATTAGAAGAGGCAGGTGATGTCTAAAAAGCGTGACCTTGGGGATAATAAAAATATCAAAAGTATGAAGGGTTAGGTAAATTTAAGCCGCAGAAATAGCATTTGCTACCCCAGCATTTCAGTGTAATTTGTTTCACATAAGGATTGTTGCTTTTGATACTGACTGATACTGACCATGTCTGTAGTTTTTGTTATGACTTTAAACAGTATCTGTCTTTAAATAACCATTCACTTGAATATATGATAAAAAGGATGCTTGCTTTTTTGGGGTAACTTTAATTTTATTTTTTTAACTTAGTTGTTGATTATTTGGTGGTCTTACTTACTTGATTGCTTGCTTGCTTTTGGATAGAAAAGTTCCTCCAATGTTATGATGGCAACACATGGGTGAAGTAGGGATAGAATTTGTGTTTGTAACCATATTTTGCTTCATAGGCAAGTTTTTCTGGACTGTATCTACTGAGCCTTATTACAGACAATAAAGCCCATCCATATCCCCTTGCAGTTAGGCTACCATTGGCAGTCTTCTAGACTTTGAAGAGCAGCCTTGCATTTTTTTAAGGAAAAAAAATAAGGCAAAGATTCCATCTAAATCAGCTGTTGGTGAGATTTTTCCATAAAGGGCCAGATAATAAATATTTTAGGCTTTGCAGGTCATATGGTCTCTGTCACAGCTGTGTCACTGTGGTACATAAGCAATCATGTATAATAATATGTAAATGAATGGGCATGGCCATGGTCTAATAAAAGTTCTATTTACAAAAATAGGTGAGCTGGATTTGGCTCATGGGCCATAGTTTGCCAGCCCTTGATCTAAACAAGTAAGTTAAATTTAAACCAATGAGAATAATTTCAAGGTACACTTTATTGTATCGTTTGGCACAGGACAGAAGTAAAGACTACTTCTTAGATCATAAGGAAAGGAACATTTCCATTCTGCAAGTTTTTCCTTCCCCAAAATGTAGCTTATTGAATTTTATAAACTTCTCTTGTAGGAAAAGTTGCTATGCAGTTTAAAAAATACTTAATATTATATCATGATGAAGTAGAAAAAGAAGAAGCCAGATTTACTTTTTTTATTTTTTATTTTTTTAAAGATTTTATTTATTGACAGAGAGACCTAGCGAGAGAGGGAACACAAGCAGGGGGAGCGGGAGAGGGAGAAGCAGGCTTCCCGCGGAGCAGGGAGCCCAATGCGGGGCTCGATCCCAGGACCCTAGGATCATGACCTGAGCTGAAGGCAGACGCTTAACGACTGAGCCACCCAGGGGCTCAAGAAACCAAATTTTAAAGTAAAAGCTTACTAAGATCCATAGAATGTTTCCAAAGTACATTGGTGGTGGCAGCGGCAGTGATGATGGTTATTTGTGCATGTGTATGACTATTCGTTTTTTATGAAGTTGTTTTCAGCTGCATAGTTTTAACTAGTATCAAAACTCTAGAGACTGACATCCTGTCTCCTTTTCCTCTTAGAATTCAAAACAGCAGTAGAGACCATTCTTTTTTCCACTTTGCCTCAGAAGTCAAAGTTCCTAATACTTCAGTATATTTGCCATAGCATTCCTGTTTATGGACTTAAGTGACTTGATGTCAATTCCACCTTCCATTTACCTTTTAGAGATTTCTTGGTACTCCATGAAGAAGGGTTCAGTCAAATAGTCTTTAGTGAAATGAAATTAAGTTAACATATAAGTGTTACTTAAAAGGAGCTTTGGATTTCATTTGGATCTTTGAAAAATCAGTTGAAGGTAGTAGTACTGATCTTTGGATAAGTTATCCAATACTTAATTGTAATTAATTTTACTCCCATTACATACAGTAGTTCTTACTGCACAAACAGTTAAGTTTCAATGCAGTGTGAATGAGCATGTTTTAAGAAGTTTTGACCTTGTTTTCCAGTCTTATTAAGGAGCTTTATTAAAGTATTTGATCCATTTGCATTATTTTTTCTTATTTCAGAAATAATTTGAATTTCCTTATGGGTTCTTGGTGGCCCAACCTTGAAGATCTTTATGAAGCAAATGTTCCAGTGTATAGGTTTATTCAGCGACCTGGAGATTTGGTCTGGATAAATGCAGGCACTGTTCATTGGGTTCAGGCTATTGGCTGGTGCAACAACATTGCTTGGAATGTTGGTCCACTTACAGGTATTTTAAAGAATATGCTAAAAAAAAAGTTTAATTTATAAAGAATTGTATCTGATAGGTTTATTTATTTTTTTCTTAGAATATAACTCACTAGAAATTGGAAGAAGAGTTGTATCTCCTTGAATAAAATTTTAATTTGTAGTACAAGAAATTAAATTCAAGTTAACAGGTAGAAATCCAAGACCATAGATCTCACCAAATAACAAATTAATGTCTTTATATACAAGGAAGAAACACTTTTAATAATTTTTAGAGTGCTTGGTTTTGTTTTATAAAGCAAACCCTTTATGGGAGAAGGCAAAATAGAGTGGTTATTCATTCTTTGAGATTTTTCTTTTATCTGGTAACGTTGTATGAATAGCCCTAATATGTCAAAATCTGTTTGAATTATGCCTACCTTCAAGCAGTAGATAATTCAGATTAAGAATATGGCCTTTGGAGCCAGAAAGACCTGGATTAGGACCAGGACCTGGCTCTTGCAACTTTGGGCAAGTTATATAACCTCTCTGGGCCTCAATTTCTTCATCTGTATAATGGGAATAATAAAATTAATAAGGTAATGATAAAGATGAAATGAGATAATGTATAAAAATAGCTCAGCACAATGCCTGGCACATAGTTATAGTAAGCACTCTTTATGTGTTCACTACTATTATTATTGCCATAATTATCAAAGAAACAATTATTTTTGTAATGTTTGAGGTTCTCAGAATTGGTATTGATAACATCTGAGAAGGTGATAATGGTAACTTCATATCTTTTGGTACTTTGGGTTGCTATTTTATAACTGTTTTTTTTTTCCTAGCCTGCCAGTATAAGTTGGCAGTGGAACGGTACGAATGGAACAAATTGCAAAGTGTGAAGTCAATAGTACCCATGGTTCATCTTTCCTGGAATATGGCACGAAATATCAAGGTCTCAGATCCAAAGCTTTTTGAAATGATTAAGTAAGTGCTTTCTAAAACTGCTGTAGTCCCTCTCTTTTTGGGGAGTGTTAACTATTCAGTACTTCCCCCCCCCCATAGAATTATGTTAACATCACAACAAAATGGTCCAGAAGTCTAGTAAAATGTAATACGAGAATCCACACATTAAAAGTATTTTTCCCTTCCAGATAGTCAGTACACTATGGTACAAAAAGGAATGAAGGCACACAAATGATTCTAAATCAGTAGATTCACAGGCCTGTGCTTCCCCACTACCCTCTGAGCCACCTGATTCCTAGGAGAACTTGAGTTTTAATATTGAAAGACTGCCCTTGGTATCAGGGGGGAGAATGGCATCACAAAATAATTGCTGGTACAGATAAATTAGCATTTAATACAGGGACTTAACTAAAATGGCAATTTTTTAATTGTTTTAATGAAATCATCCATCTTATAATTGTCCCTTTCTTAGCTGCTTTAAACACCTAATACAAGTTATTTGAATATATATATCCTACTAAGCTTCTCATTTATTGTCAGTTTCTGTCTTAGCTATTTTGTAAATATATTTAGAAGTAATATTTTCAAACAGTGCTATATAGCAGTGTTTCCCTAAACTGTATTTTCTGCCACTGCTGCCCCTACCCTGAAAAGGTGGGTGATTCTGGTCAAAGAAATATGGAAAATGATGGATTAGATAAAGTTTTACAAGTCCTTTATTCTTTTAATAGTTTTTGTAAAATGTAGAGACTCTAAGTGTTGGTGTGTTTTGTGAATGGGGAAGGAGGAGGGTTATATAATGTATTTCCCAAACGTATTTGTTTGACCAGTATCTCTTAAAGAATTGATCTCCTCAAAAACTCATTTTGGAATACACTGCTTTATACTCACTGATAAAATATTTATAGTTTTCATATTTGTTAAAGTAGTGCTTATATTAAGTGTTTCTCCTGCAGCTATATTAATTTGGTCAGTATATGTCGTTTTCCAAATACTGTCTTTTGAAAATAATCCTGTCTTAATAAAATGATTTCAAACCTAAGTCCAAAATTTCATTCAAATAGAAATTGTAGTGGTCAAGGTAACACACCTCTGGATTATCTTATGATACAGTCCTTTTATCGGTTGCAGTTTTTAGCTAGTCTTGGGCAGAAATAGTAGGGGAGACAAGAGGTAACAAAACCCAAATCATAGCAAATAATGTACAAATCCTTTTTTTTTAAATTCCGTTAATGAACATGTAGCGTATTATTAGGTTCAGAGGTAGAGTTGAGTGATTCCTCAGTCTTATATAATACCCAGTGCTCATTACATCACGTGATATACAAATCCTTTTAAAAAGTTGGCTCTTGGGTACTGTATTCTACAAATGTAATTGGTAGTGGGGTGTGTGGGGTTATCTGTCCATTTATCTTATTATATCTGACGGTGGTACCTTGCTCTGAAGGGCAAGGTCAGGGTTACTTTTGGGGCGAAAAATGATTTAAAGTCACTGAAGATGTTTAGTCAATTTGAGATATGCATAAACTGGAGGCTAATTCAGATCTCCAAAAGAAGGTAGAGGGATGGTACAGCGTAGAAACCATTTCTCTAAGGGGCGCCTGGGTGGCTCGGGCATTAAGCGTCTGCCTTCAGCTCAGGTCATGATCCCAGGGTCCTGGGATCGAGCCCCGCGTCGGGCTCCCTGCTCAGCGGGAAGCCTGCTTCTCCCTCTCCCACTCCCCCTGCTTGTGTTCCCTCTCTTGCTGTGTCTCTCTCTGTCAAATAAATAAATAAAATCTTTAAAAAATAAATAAATAAAAATCAATAGGACAGCATTAAATTGTCAATACTTAAAAAAAAAAAACCATTTCTCTAATAGCTATATAGATTGAAAGTGACTCATTACATTTTAGATAGATTAGAATTTTATAATTGGGAAGGATTTTTAAGGTCATTTAGTCAAAACTACTACTAAGTGCAGTAATCCGTTCTGTAGCCTCCATAATTTGTGGTCATCTAGTGAGGTAGATGAGAACATTACCTCACTATAATTCTCATTACCTCACTATAATTTTTGAAAGTTCTTTACAGATTGGCCTAAAATCTACCTGTCATTTGGTCCTAAATCCCTAAATATGTTTCGGATTTATGTAGAATGTGTCCCATTCAATAACTGTTTAAGAACCAACTCTGTGCAGTGTTTAAATTAAAACCCCTCCCCTCAGGGGACTTAAATTCTAGTGGAGCAAGACAGACCACCAGACAGATGAATAAATTACTAACAAGTAGTATGAATAAGACGAAATGTGTAATGTTTGGGGGGTGGGGGTGGAGTGCTGCTTTTTTCTGCAGCAGTCGAGGAAGGTGTCTGAGAAGTTGAGTTTTGTGCTTAGACCCAAATACTGAGATGGAGTCAACCAAAGACCTAGGGGTAGAACATTTCAGGGCTAAATGGCTGAATCTGGAACAGCTTTGGCATGTTTGTAGAACAGAAAGGCCAGTATATAGCAGAATGAGAGAAAGGGGGGGTTGCAGTAAGCTCAATGAAGTGAGCAGGAACCAGATTGGACATGGACTTTTAGGACATGGTAAGCAGTTTATATGTTTGTTCTGGGTGTTATAGGTTAGCATTAGAGGAGTATAAGCAGGAGATGGATGGGTTCTGATTTAAACTTTTAAGAAAATGAATCTGTTTGCTTTGTAGAGAATGGATTCCAAGAGGCAGTGTTGGAAAGGGGGAGTGAGTGGACAGTTAGAAGGCAATTGCAACAGGACAGACCATCCTAGAACAGACATTTACCCATGGGGGTAGAGAGAGGGATCAAACTAGGGTCTGTGGTGGAGGTAAAGCTCACAGAATTTGCACATATGTTGCAGAGTGGGGGGAGGAAGTGGCAAGAAGGAAAAAGGTATCAAGGGAAGATCATTGTCCTGTTCTGTCCTTCTTCCTACCTGGTCTTCATTAATTTAAACATCTCTCACCTCTGTCATCTTTTCCATCCCTCTGTCGCCATCATCCTTGTCATCCTTCTAGACTCCTTCCAGTTTATCATCATCCCTCTTAACATTTGAAATGTTGAGCATTGACCCTCATATTCATCTTTGTTATAAAGTTGTGTTGTGTTGAAATTGGATACAAACCATTTGGATGTTTTTCAACTTCAAATTACCTGTGGTACTGTTGTTCCTCATCCCTACCTTATTTTTTTAACCTAAATGCACTTACATACTTATTTTACTCCCATTTTTACTCTGTGCTACAAAATATTCATTTAAATCTTTATTGTGTTCCTCATTATATTAAGAATTCTGCTCCTAGCTTGAGTTGTCATGAGATGTGATTAGCAAGCTCCTTTTGTCATCACACTGATTGAAAGTGTCCACTATAAATTCAGACCCCTAAGCCTTGCTTTATAAACTTCCCTCTTAAAGCATAGTCATTCAGGTATTACTAAAAATGCACTTTTCACCAGCCAACATTGGTCCTTTTTTTCCATTTGTACTTTTCTATAATTTAATGAATGTTTGCTGACTGTATACAAGGCTCTAGGCTAGGCACTGAGAGGGTATATATGTGTCTGTCATCTGTCTGTATCTGGTATAGGTCTTATCTTGAAGTAAAAGTGCATATAAATGGATAGATTGAAAGAAATACAACAACAGATCCCACTGGATTCTTTCCAGCTCCATGGAATCAGAAAAGTCTGTGTGTTCTGGGAAGCAGGTAATTTGTGTGAAGGGTAAAGATGTGGAGGCAGGGAGAGGAGAGAGGACAGAGGAATAACACCTAAAGCCAGTTTAAGACCAAACTCTTGTGCCATCAGGAAAACGCTTCAGTTCATCTACAAAGTAATGCATACCATGTCTCCTTCAGTCCAGCACAGTCACATTTGCCTCCAGCGAGGGAATAAATCCCTTTTCTTCACTTGAGCACTAGGTGAAGTCGTTGGGCTTCTGTGGAGAGGCCCTCTTGTACTAGTACAATCATACTCAGCATGGAAAGGCTGCTGACTCAGTAAGGGGCTCAGAGGAACTCCTGCTGCCTAGAGGACCAGCAGGTGCATACTCACTCCAGGTCATCTTTTCTTCCCCCGGCTCTCCATCTGTCCCCAGCACCTACCTGATTTGCTCCTCCCTCCTGGGTATTTGCATGATCTTAAACGCATATATGATACAACTCTGCTATGTATGCGGTGGTGCATTCTAGCTTGAGGACAGTGTGTATGATGAGTAGTAGAATAAGATACAGTTGTAAAAGTTCTTAGTGGCAGAGGGTATGCATTGTGTGCCAAACATGAGTGTATTCTTTTAGAGAGCTTTTGATGGGTTTTTAACTAATACGATCTAATTTGGGTTTCATAAAGTTCTTTCTAGCAGTTAAACAGCAATAAGCTTTTGGATGGTAAGAGAACGGAGTGAATCAAAGATAGTTTGGGTTTTCAAGTTTGGGTTCTATGTGGTTTTAGTAATAATGCTAGTTAATAAATTGATTTTGGGGGGCACGCCTGGGTGGCTTAGTTGGTTAAGTGTCCCAACTCTTGATTTCGGCTCAGGTTAGGATCTCAGGGTCATGAGATCAAGCCCCATATTGGACTCTGCACTCAGATCTGCTTAAGATTCTCTCCCTCTCCCTCTGCACCCCTCCCCCCACCGCTCACATGCTCTCTCTCTAAAAATTTATATAAAAATAAAAATAATAAATTGAGTTTGGTACTTAGCTGAGCACTAAGAAAAGTGCTTCCCAGACTGTATCTGAGTTCTACCTCTCAGCATCCCAAGGTCACCCAGGTAGTTAGAGCCAGGATTAAATGCCCCTAGCCATCTTGTATGAAAGCTACTTGAATGTATCTTTGGCACAGGACTTCATTTTGGGGCGGTGGCAAGTTTGAGGAGCCAATAAAATACTTGGATAGAGCTGTTTAGCGGAAGCTGTAGGAAATGCAGAACTCCAGAGAGCAAAGTTAGAGCTGACAGACTAGGGGGTCTTCTGTCTAGCCATTTGTGATTGCCTTGAGAGAAAGAAAAGGGGAGGAGTTGGG